CTTTATCACACAGCGTGTTTATTTGTGTATCACACAGGGTGTTCCCCTCAATGATTCATTTTATGGACAAGAAGCATCCAATGTTTGGAAAACGTCCCCCACCCCATGCCCCTTTGCTCAACGAGTGACCTAAACATAGTAACGGAGCTAAAGCCACTTTGTCAGGGTGGACGCTGTAGCTGGAAAAAATGATAAGCTGGTCCAGTGGATAGAGCCTCAGGCTGCGGACTGAAAGGTCCCTCCCTCTCTGGGAAAAAAAAAAAATTATATATATATTAAGGCAGTTGTGAAAGACTATGGCTCAGAAGTTTCATCCTCATCTTCAAAATACAAGAAACACTGCTGAGGATTATGATGATTTTCCTGCTTTTTCTTTTTTCTTTTTTTTTTGGAACATATTTTATTGATTTTAGAGAGGAAGGGAGAAGGAGAGAGAGAGAAACATCAATGATGAGAATCATTGATCGGCTGCCTCCTGCACGCCCCCTACTAGGGATCAAGCCTGCAACCCGGGCATGTGCCCTTGTCCAGAATGGAATCCTGGACCTTCCAGTGCCCAGGCCGACGCTCTATCCACTGACCCACACTAGCCAGGACTTCCTGCTTTTTCTTGATTGCAGTCCAGCCCCAGAGCTAGTGGCCAGCAGTGCCCACGAATGATGATGCCTCCTCCTTAGATGACACCTACAGCAGCACACCTGTGAGGAAGTGATCCAAGGCCCGGGCTGGAGAGCATTATGTGTCCGAGGCCTGATCTATCATCTGGGAGGCCTGAGCGAGTTAATGCACTCAGCAAAGACTACCCTCCCTCTCTGATTGCTCCCGCGCTTCCTTAAAGGATTTAAAAGCCGGGAAGGTGACGGCTCCTTGTCAATGTTGGTCGTCTGCCTGCCGTGGGAGTTTATCTGTCTGGCCAGGGAGACCGTTAGATCAGGACTCCCAGCCGGGATCAGAGGCGTCAGCACGGAATAGATGGGGAGGCTGGCAGAGGCGTTATTTATGGCTCCATGGCGACGGGCTGTATGCATTCCATTCCATGTTTACGTTGTGGGAACCAGGGTGTATCTGTGTTCAGAAGTGGAGGCTGCACACAGTCCAAGGGTTTCCCGATGATTCTCCATCGGGCCTGTTTTCATAGTCTTGTCTCAACGCCCTCACGCCCAATGTTGCCTTTCGCATTTCCGTTATTTTGGTTAAAGGCTTAGGGAAGAGTGAACTTCAAACATTTCCTCGGCCCTGACCTGTATGGCTCAGTGGATAGAGCGTCGGCCTGCGGACTGAAAAGTCTCAGGTTCCATTCTACTCAAGGGCTTGTATTTTGGTTGCGGGCACATCCCCAGTGGGAGGTGTGCAGGAGGCAGCTGATGGATGTTTCTCTCTCATCAGTGTTTCTAGCTCTTTATCCATCTTCCTTCCTTTTTGTAAAAAATCAATAATATATATATATATATCAATATATATATATCAATAATATCATATATATATATATATATATATTAAAGATGATAGTTGGAATGATGGGTGTAGAAGGATTTTTAAAAAAAAGACAAATCTTTGCTCGGCCAGTGTGGTTCAGTGGTTGAGCATCCATCTATGAATCAGGAGGTCAGGGTTCGATTCCCGGTCAGGACACATGCCTGGGTTGCAGGCTCCATCCCCAATAGGGGGCGTGCAGGAGGCAGCCAAAAGATGATTCTGTCTCATCATTGATATTTCTCTCTCTCCCTCTCCCTCTCTGAAATCAATAAAAATATATTTAAAAAAAATTTTTTTTTCCTTGGCCCCATGGGATTTTCACACTTTTCAGCTAGTGCCACTGTATTTTACTCAAACGGTACAGAGCTGTCAGTGTATTCATTATACGAGTCTCCTGTAGCCCTGAGCAGATGACAATTGCTAGAGCGGGTGGGAAAGGGGAGGGGGGCTGGTGGGGAGGAGGGACCCATCTGAACCCCCATCTCCAGAAGCAAATTTCTCTCGTGTCTCCTGTTCCGGCCCCTGCGTGCACTATCCCCTCGCTCTGTTTCCGCTTGCCTGACCCCTCCCTCCGCCATCGCCGATGCGGGCTGTCTCATCTGTATATAAAAATTAAAAATTCAAACAAAAATCTGGCCCACGCGAAGCACGGGCCCTTTGGGCATATGGTTCATTATGCATATTCGTTTAATTACTAAAACACTGGGGATGGCTCCCCTGCCCTCACTTTCAACTCGCAAAGTCAGATCTCTCCTCTCGCACAGAAGACGGGGCAGAGCAGTGTGTGCTGAAGGAGGGGTGGGGTGGGGGAGAAATAAAAGAGAGAGAGCTTTTGAAGAAATTTTTGGAATACACCAAAAGGAGACAGGATCCCCAGGATGCGATGGATCGAGAGCAGCAGGAATGTCTCTCTTCCTCTCTTTTTTTGTCTCCTTTTCCCTCCCCATCCCAAATTTCTTTTTTTTTTAAATTTATTTAAAAAAAAACATATTGTATTGATTTTTTACAGAGAGGAAGAGAGAGGGATAGAGAGCTAGAAACATTGATGAGAGAGAATCATCGACCTGCTGCCTCCTGCACATCTCCCACTGGGGATGTGCCTGCAACCAAGGTACATGCCCTTGACTGGAATCGAACACGGGACCTTTCAGTCTGCAGGCTGATGCTCTATCCATTGAGCCACACGGGTGTCAGCAAGGAGTATAGGTTTTCCTGTGGGTTTCTTCGGACCCACCCACATGTCTCAGGTCGAAGCCACGTGTTCTTGGCTGGAGAAAGACTCGCCGTGAACGTGGGACTTTAATTGATTTCTGCTATAGCTTAGACTGGCCCCAGCCTGATCTCTGCTCCGGATTCGGGGCTGCACGTCGAATAGCTTTATTAAAATAAACCGTTCCCTGGCTCCGCGGTTACCTGCACATCTGCCTCCTGCTTTTTCAAGGGCCTTTGCCAAGATTCCCGCTCCGTGCTTGTGTGGATCGGATCCCAGGGAAAAGAGAGTGGAGAAAGACTCTCTTCTCTGCCTGTCATCAAACTCTCCTTTTGGGGGGTTTACAGTTAGACACATCATTGTTTCGGGGAGTTCCTTTAGGCGGTGGTTATTTTCACATGTGTTTCCACTGCCCATTTATCTTCATGGTGCAACAGATATTTTTGAACAGAACTGGCCAAAACTGGAACGGGGAGTTTCTGGGTTTGCATTTGAACTATATATATAGTTTTATAGTTATATATATAGTTCTATATATATAGAACTATATATATATAGTTCTATATATATAGAACGATATATATGTTTATATATATAAACATATATATACACACATATATATATGTTTTTACAGAGAGAAAGGGAGAGGGATAGAGAGTTAGAAACATCCATCAATTGCCTCCTGCATACCTCCTACTGGGGATGTGCCCGCAGCTAAGGTCCATGCCCTTGACAGGAATCAAACCCGGGACCCTTCAGCTCACAGGCCTACGCTCTTTAGTCTGCAGGCTGACGTTCTGTCCACTGAGCCAAACCAGCTAGAATCAGAGAACACTTTTCTAGAACACTCCGTCCATCCCTTATTGATTTCAGAGAGGAAGGGAGAGAGGCATCAATGATGAGAGAGAATCATTGATCGGCTGCCTCCTGCACGCTCCCCAGGATCCCGAGACCGAGACCCAGGCATGTGCCCTTGGCCGGAATCGAACCCGGGACCCTTCATTCTGCAGGCCAGTGTTCTATCCATTGAGCCAAAATGGCTAGGACACCAGAGATTTTTTTTTTCCCGTATTGATTCTGATCCAGTCTTTCTACAGACACGAAGGAGTAAAGCCTAATGTGTTAAGTTAAAGCTTTTATTTGTAATTGCAGCCCAAAGTCAGAGGATACAATAAAAATTTTTTTATTGATTTCAGAGAAGAAAGGAGAGAGAGAGAGAGAGAGAGAGAGAGAGAGAGAGAGAGAGAGAGAGAAACGTCAATGATGAGAGAGAATCATTGATCTGCCTTCTGCGCACCCCTCTTACTGGGGATCGAGCCTGCAACCTGGGTATGTACCCTTGACTGGAATTGAACCTGGGACCCTTCAGTCTGCAGGCTGACGCTCTGTCCACTGAGCCACACCAGCCAGGGCCAGAGAACTCTTTTCTAGAACACTCTGTCCACTTAGCGGACAATCAGAGCCCCATTGTTCTTCTAACAGGGAGCGTGCCCACAGTTCTGCCTCGGAAATGAGTGAGACGCTTCCTGGTACATTTAATGGAATTTTTTTTTTTTTTCGTCTTGACCTCTTCAAGACACCCAGCTTTCTGGGGAATAACTGTGTGAGGGTTCTTTTCTCCCTTCCTTTAATCCGAGTAGAGAATTTGCTCATGACTTTGGAAGATGTATTTGCCCAAATCAGACTTTCAACTGCTCCATTACCAGTGTCTGCAAAACAAACAACAACAAAAACAACAAAAAATAACACATAATGAGAAATTTATTGTCTGATTCTCAGCCAGAAATTATGACCATTTTAGGAGGGAAAGAGCCAATAGTTGATATATATATATATATATATATATATATATATATATATGATCTATAGATATATATTAACAAATGTATATTTGTTAATCTTCACTAAAATATATTTTTCCATTGATTTTTAGAGAGTAGAAAGGAGGAGAAGGAGGAGGAGAAAGAGGAGGAGGAGGAGGAGGAGGAGGAGGAGGAGGAGGAGGAAAGAGAGAGAAACATCAATGTGAGAGAGACATACAAATTGGTTGCCTTCTGCACCTGCCCCAACGAGGGGCCAGGGATCGAGCCCACAACCAAGGTACATGCCCTTGACCGGAATCGAACCTGGGACCCGTCAGTCCGCAGGCCGGCGCTTTATCCACTGAGCCACACCGGTTTCGGCGGTTTGTAACCGTTTCTAAAAAGCTGCTGCAGTGAGAGTCTGGATTTAATTTCCGAGGCCACGGAGTGGGCATTGAGGATCGTTCCCGTTCCGTGTTCTCGGGCCGTGACCTGGTCTTGCCTTCCCCCAGGTGTTCGTGGTCACCGTGTGGAACTTTGAGCTGTACATGGTCCCCCTGGCACTGCTGCTGCTCTTTGCCTACAACTTCCTCGAACCCGTGAAAGGAAAGGGGAGCGGCGCCCATGACTGCCAGGTAAGCCAGGGTCATTGAACGCTGCCCTGTGGCCAGAAACAAAGGTGTGGACAGGAGAAGCCAGGGGCACCACTGAAGCATGGCCCAGGTCCATTTAGTTTGGTCCTGAAGGATCCACTTTGTGCATATGTCCATGTTCTAGTAGAGATCTTTTTTTTTTTTAAATATATATATATATATATTTTATTGATTTTTTACAGAGAGGAAGAGAGAGTGATAGAGAGTTAGGAACATCGATGTGAGAGAAACAACCATCAGCTGCCTCCTGCACACCCCCCCACTGGGGATGTGTCCGCAATCAAGGCACATGCCCTTGACCGGAATCGAACCTGAGGCCTTTCAGTCCACAGGCCAATGCTCTATCCACTGAGCCAAACCGGTTTTAGTGAGATCTTTTAAAAATATATATATATATTTTTAAATTTTTTTATTGATTTCCAAGAGGAAGGGAGAGGGAAAGAGAGATAGAAGCATCCATGAAGAGAGAGGGAGAGAGAGGGAAATGTCGATGTGAAAGACACACATAGATGGGTTGCCTCCTGCACACCCGCCCTGACCAGAGTCCCTGGCCTGGAAGGAGCCAGCAACCGAGGTGTATGCCCTTGACCGGAATCGAACCCGGGACCCTTTGGTCTGCAGGCTAGTGCTCTATCCACTGAGCCACACTGGCTAGGACTGTAGACATTGTTCTTCTTCTTCTTTTTTTTTTTTGATTGATTTCAGAGAGGAAGGGAGAGGGAGAGAGAGAGAGAAACATCAATGATGAGAGAATCATGGATCAGCTGCCTCCTGCACCCCCCCTTACTGGGGATTGAGCCCGCAACTCGGGCATGTGCCCTGACTGGAATGAACCTGGGGCCTTTCAGTCCACAGGCCGATGCTCTATCCACTGAGCCACACAGGCTCGGGCTGTAGACTTTTTTTTTTTTCCTTTCATGTGAATGAGTTTAGTTTGCCTTTGGTCATTTCCGCTGATATTTTATTAACATGTTGTTGGGCTTCCTTTCAGGAGAGCACGGAAGTCGAGGATGAGGAAGACGAAGATGACAAGGTGAGTAGAGAGGGAGGGGGCATTCCTTTGTTTTGTTTGTTGTTTGTTCATCCTTATCCGAGGATATTTTCCCATTGATTTTTAGAGAGAGTGGAAGGGAGGGGGAGAGACAGAGAGAAACATCGATGTGAGAGAGACCCAGCGATTGGTTGCCTCCTTCCTGCAGGCACCAGGACCAGGGCCAGCGAACCTGTAACCAAGGTACCTGCTCTTGACCGGGATCAAACCTGGGACCCTTCAGTCCCAGGGCCGACACTCTATCCACTGAGCCACACTGGCCAGGGCAGGACTTCCATGTTCTCAGCAGACAGCTTCCTTCCAGGTTGTGTCAAATGCTTTTATTTATTTTTTTGTACTATAGAGTAGCCATCATATTAATATTCTTACCATTTACAAAGGATATCCCTTCCTAAGACATATCTATTATATTTCCTTGTTTCTTTTCATCCATTTGTAAAAATGGGTACGGGAAGGGGCAAAATGTAAGAAATAATTGAAGTAGAACAAAAAGCCTCGCTGTCAGCCCAGCCAGTGTGGTTCAGTGGTCAAGCACCGACCTATGAACCAGGAGGTCGCGGTTCGATTCCCGGTCAGGGCATAGGCCCGGGTTGCAGGCTCCATCCCCAGTAGGGGGCGTGCAGGAGGCCGCCGATCCATGCTACTCTCTCATCGTGGATGTTCCTGTCTCTCTCTCTCTCTGCCTCTTTGAAATCAATAAAAACATATGAAAAATAAATAAAATAGCGTAACGGTAGGTGGGCTGTCCTTGGCTGCAGGCAAAGGTGCGCTTCTCCTTGGCGCCTGGGAGGTGGGCAGAGGGAGGGTGGCCCGGGAAGTCACCCTCAAACCCAGTGACATTACTCCTCCTTCAGTCTCCGGCCCGCACGCCGCGGGGCGGCCACCCACGTCAGAGCCTGTCACTTCCCCAGCTGCTGCTGGCAGTGAGCTCGGCTCTCCATCTGCCTACATCTGTCCTCTCCCTTCTCCTGGGAGAGCTTCTCAGAGCCGCCGCTTCTGTTGTCATTACGCTTTCAGACAAACCTTCTGGAATAGAATGAAGAAAGAAGGAGAAAAAAAAAAAGCCAAATGCCAAATTTTAGGCTGCTAGCTTAATGGACTGCCAGTCCCCAGAACCTGTGGGTATGAGGGTATGCCTGGCATAGCCTTTAGGATGCTGGAGGGGGAGGGAGGGGCTGGGGGAAGTCTTTACAGTTCGGATCCCATATAAAACGCCCAGGGAATAGAAATGTTTGTTTTTTTTTTAAAAATATATCTTATTGATTTTTTACAGAGAGGAACAGAGAGTTAGAAACATCGATGAGAGAGAAACATCGACCAGCTGCCTCTTGCACACCCCACACCGGGGATGCGCCCGCAACCAAGGTACATGCCCTTGACTGGAATTGAACCTGGGACCCTTCAGTCCGCAGGCCGACGCTCTCTCCACTGAGCCACACCGGTTTCGGCTAGAAATGGGTTTAAAAACACCGGCTCCATGGCACAAAGGGCCTTAAAATGAATCAAGAGAGGCAGATGGCTTTGCCCATTTGTAGCGAGTTAAAGGGATTCCAGAGTCACCCTTATTGGTGGGGTGGAAATGATCATTCATAGCAAAGATAACGAAATCAAGTAGTAAAATATATATATTTTTAAAGTAGATTGCCATTTTTTTTTCCAGAATAAAAAGGTCACACAGATGCAGCTTTCTTCTCGATGGGTTGATGTTGTGTGGCTTCCGTGGGACATCGCTTCTTGAACTGATGAGAAGTAGGGATAGCCAGGCCAAAGTGCATGCTGGGAAGGCTCACCAAAGGAAACAAGTCTTTTTTTATTTTTTTATTAACATGTTTTTATTGATTTTTGGAGAGAGAGTATAGGAGAAGGATAGAGAGATAGAAACATCTATGATGAGAGAGAATCATGGATCGGCTTCCCTCCTGGGGATCCTGGGCATGTACCCTTGACCAGAAATCAAACCATGATCTCTTGGTTCATAGGTCAACACTCAACCACTGAGCCGTACTGGCCGAGCTCTCTCTCTCTCTCTCTCTCTCTCTCTCTCTCTCTCTCTCTCTCTCTCTCGCTTCTTTAAGAGATTTGTAACTGGGGGGATTTTAACATGAAGACCTCCAGAGCTCACACCATTCGCACCCATACTGCAATAGATTATTTCTTCTCCACGTATGTCAGACAGACGCTCACGGAGCCCCACACAGGCTGCATCCCCGGGCTCGCTCACGCGGTCCTCCCGGCTCCTGTTGCGTGTTACACATGACAGACCGCGCTTCTGGGAAGTGTAACACGCCCAGCGAGACAGGAACCCTTTACAAATTGTAAACACTCGGTCGTTTCCTCCCGAATCAGAAGAAGAGAGGGAATTCCTCTCTCTCCAGACGATCCGTCTTGGAGGTGACACCCCCTAATTGCCAGCACCCCTTCCCACCACATACCACGGCGGACAACGGGGGAGATGAAAGCCCGCCGGCCCCCAGGGTGCGGCTCTCTGGGGAGACGGATGCTTCCCCAGGGTCCCGCCTGTATCCCATGCACAGACCAGGCCGCGGCCTGGGCTCTGTCAGCCTTTGATTGTCTGCCGCGGGGATTGTTGTCACATGACATCACCGTGTAGCCTCCTGCTCCCTTGTCACTGTCAAAAGGCCACGGGGGTGACTTAGACTCCCAATTAGACTCCACAGTTTTGGTTTCTTTTCTTTGTTAATCCTCACCCGAGGATATTAAAAAAAAAAAAAAAAAAAAAAAAAAAAATATATATATATATATATATATATATATATATATATATATATATATATATAATTGATTTTCTATAGAAAAGAAGAGAGAGAGAGAGAGAGAGAGAGAGAGAGAGAGAGAGAGAGAGAGCTAAAAACACCGATAAGAGAGAAACATCGATCAGCTGCCTCCTGTATACCCTCTAATGGGGATGTGCCCGCAACCAAGGTACATGCCCTTGATCGGAATCGAACCTGGGACCCTTTGGTCTGCAGGCCGATGCTCTATCCACTGAGCCACACCGGTTTCGGCCCGAGGATATTTTTTTTCCCATTGATTTTTAGGGAGAGCAGAAGAGATAGGGAAAGACAGGGAGAAACATGGATTAAGAGAATCACATCCATGGGTTGCCTCTTGCTTGAGCCCCGACCAGGGCCCAGGCCAGGGAGAAGCCTACCACCGAGATACCCACCCTTGATCAGAAACGAACCTGGGACTCTTGGTCTGAGGCCCCGATACTCTATCCACTGAGCCACACCAGTCAAGGGCACATGCCTGTGTTGTGGGCTTGATCCCCAGTAGGGGGCGTGCAGGAGGCAACCGATCCATGATTCTCTCTCATCATGGATGTTTCTATCTCTCTCCCTCTCCGTTCCTCTCTGAACTCAATAAAAATATAGTTTTAAAAAAAGAAAATAAAAAAGTCAAGGAATATCTTGGAAAGATGAGCAATCATTGAATATCTTCCTGCACATTTCAGAGCCGATGGGAGCGATATACAGGGCAGTATTATAGAGGACCTGCTCAGGGATAATTTCCAGGGAATAAAATAAGTGGCCATTGTGATGTAACTGCTTTTAATTTGATTTAATATGAATTTTAGTGATGCAGTCATTTAATTGCTCGCGTCTCCACCGTACCATCTTAGCTCTGGGACTTTAATATTAAAATGGATTCCAGCCAAATCTTAATGATCGGTTTATGCATGTTCTGATGAGAAGGGACTGGCTTCCTTACTTCCTGCCGCCTTTTCCCCCCGACACGCCAACTAGCTCACATTTTCCGTTCTTAAGAGTGTTTGGCCTCATTGCCTTGAGAAGGAATCCAGGAATGCTAATAATCTGACCTTTCGAGGCAGCATTCATCCTAGTTAACTACCAGGCTCAATAACCATAGCACTTGTGGATTTGCTTAGAAATTTCTTCTCTAAGGATTATACTTGTATGTCACTCCCAAATATTGTGAACTACGATATACCAGACTATAAATTAGATGGAATATCTGTCCTTCTGTTAGCTAATGTGCACTGTCTATCAGAATACAGTCAGAGGCTCTGATTTTATAGAATGCTAGAGGTCTGGTGCACAAAATTCGTGCACTCTAGTGTGTGTGTGTGTGTGTGTGTGTGTGTGAGTGTGTGTATGTCTGTGTGCGTTTCTGTGTGTGCCTGTGTCTCTGTGTGTGTCAGTGTGTGTGTCTCTGTGTGTGTCTGTGTGCGACTCTGTGTGTGTCTGTGTGCCTGTGTCTCTGTGTGTGTCAGTGTGTGTGTCTCTGTGTGTGTCTGTGTGCGTCTCTGTGTGTCTGTGTATGTGTCTGTGTGTGTGTGCATCTCTGTGTGTGTGGGTATGTTTGTGTGTGTCTGTGTGCGTCTCTGTGTGTGCGTGTCTGTGTGTGTGTGTCAGTGTGTGTGTGTCTGTGTGCATCTCTCTGTGTGTGTGTCTGTGTGTGTGCATCAATGTGTGTGTGTCTGTGTGCATCTCTGTGTGTCTGTTTGTGTGTGTATATATCTGTGTGTGTGTCTATGTGTGTGTCTGTGTGTGTATCTCTGTGTGTGTGTATGTTTGTGTGTGTCTGTGTGCGTGTCTGTGTGTGTATGTTTGTTTGTGTCTGTGTGCATCTCTCTGTGTGTGTGTGTCTGTGTGTGTGTGTGCATCTCTCTGTGTGTGTATGTTTGTGTGTGTCTGTGTGCGTCTCTGTGTGTGTGTGTGTCTGTGTCTGTGTGTGTGTATCTGTATGTGTGTCCATGCACGCACAACACATCTCGTGGGCAGAAGCCCTGAAGGCAGTTCCCAGGGCGGTAAGCCAGGCTTCCTGCAGGCCCTGCAAGTTTGTAATCTTGTGCATCAGAAATACTGCTTCTTGTTCCTTGTTATGACAGATGTTGAGAGAGGTTTTTTCTGTTTTGTTTTGTTTTGTTTTGTGTGTGTGTGTGCGTGTGTGTGTGTGTGTGTGTGTGTTTCATGCTGGATGCCACTCACTCGGTTTCTGATGTTGATGGTGTTTGCACGTCTTCACACAGCAGGCTTTTCCTCGTCAGTGGGAGGAATCAGACCAAACATATTCCCTTTTGCAGTCTCAGGCTCTGCTTTTGCCTCTTGGCTCCGGATGGCTGAAACCGCTGGGGAGAACGTGAGGCTGAAATGTGGCACGAATGGCTTTGGGACAAATACTGCTCAGGGTCTCAGCATGTCACAAAGCTTTGTCCTGCTGTGGTCACCTTGCAGGACTGTGCCTCTGGCTTCGCTTAGGTAATGGAAGAGAAAGGTGAGCCCGGCCGGTGTGGCTCAGTGCTTGAACGTCAACCCGTGAACCAGGAGGTCATAGTTCCATTCCCAGTCAGGGCGTATGCCTGGGTTGTGGGTTCGATCCCCAGTAGGGGGTGTGCAAGAGGCAGCTGTCGATGTTTCTCTCTCATCGATGTTTCTGGCTTTCTGTCCCTCTCCTTTCCTCTCTGTAAAAAAAAAAGTCAATAAAATATATATATTTTTAAAAAATCCACTTGTCCTCAAAATCTAAAAAATACCTTGTCCGACCTGGCTTGCTTGTTGAGTGGCACCAGCGGCGATCACCATTTCTATTCCTCATTTCCCTCGAATAATTGGAAGCCACTCGTGTTCGGGAGAACGTCAGGGCAGGAGGCAGCGGGCCTGTCCTCCTTCTGAATGAATCGCTGTGACGCCTCCCGGGAAACCGGAGCAGCTGCCGGTGGAACGTTGTGTCTGCTAAACGGTGTTACCGCCACATTCCCCGGATCCATCGGAAACGTGTAAATAAAGCCAGCATGGAGCAGATAGCGCCGGCAGATAAGCTCATGCAGCGCTGGGCAACATGAGTAGGCTTGTCCCGCAAGCTCGTGGCTCTTGAAACTTGAATCAACCCCTGGACTGTGTTGACTAGACCAGAAGTTGCTTATGCGGCCTTCTGTTCCTCTGCATCCTTTTTTATGTTTTTTTTGTTTGTTTGTTTTTTTAAAATCTATTTTGTTGATTTCAGGGACGGGGGGGAGAGAGAAACATCCATGATGAGAGAGAATCACGGATCGGCTGCCTCCTGCACGCCCCCTACTGGGGATGGAGCCCACTACCCCAGGCATGTGCCTTGACCAGGAATCGAACCGGGACCTCCTGGCTCAACCACTGAGCTACACCAGCCCGGCTCTTTGCATTCTTGAAGGGGATGGGCCTAGGTGTGTGAAGTGCCTAGGGTGTACCGAGTGCCCATGTGATGTTTACTTCTCCAAAGACTCTTCATGATCTCCCTTTTCTCCATAACGAATTAGCAACTCCGAAAGGGGTCAGGTACTTGCCTGGATCGCAGAGCGAGGGGACCACAAGACCAGCGTTAATCAATACCAATATACACTGAGTGGCCAGATTATGATGATCTCTGAATACATCGTAATCTGGCCACTCCGTGTACTTCTCTTGAGCACCTCATTTATTTGATATCAAAGATACTATAAATCACGCACCTGATCCGTTTTCCCTTTTGCACTGGCTGATAGAAAGCTCAGGGCAAATAGGTTGTTGATCTCCAGCAAAAGACTAGAATACTGTTGGTACCCACTGGAGATACAGATACACGGAGTGGCCAGATAGTTATGCGTTCAGAGATCATCATAATCTGGCCACTCAGTGTATGTTGCGAGAAATGTGGCATGTCTTAGAGGTTCTCTGTGGATGATAACCATGCTGTTATATACACAGTACACTCCTTTCTAGACTGGAACAATAACAAGAGCGTAGCTGAGTCCGGTCTTGTTTCTGTGTTTCTTAGGAATCTGAGAAGAAGGGCATCATCCAGAGGATCTACATGGTTCAGGATATCGTTTCCACGGTTCAGAACATCTTGGAGGAAGTAGCTTCCTTTGGAGAAAGAATTAAAAAGTGAGTCCGACCTCTGTATCATGGCGTTTGAATGAGAGCTGCCGTCTGCAAGGGCGAGTGTGGGTGGGGAGTGTGAAGTCAGAAAATGCAGATCCCCAAAACGGAAGCTATGGTGTCAGGCAAGCCCTGTGAACTCTGGCTAGTTTGCTCTTTGGCCTTGTCAGTCTCACAGTTGGGCAATGTCTCAGAACTAGGGTGACCAGATGGCCCAGACTAACTACGAAGTGTCTCGCTCACTCTCAAAAAAGACTCTAGATTGGGAGATAAACTGCATTAAAAAAAAATTATCTTACTTTTATTAGTGTAGATATATACACTAATAAAAGTAAGATGCAAATTGACCATACCTTCACGACGCCCACCAACCAATCAGGAGTGAGCATGCTAATTAACCCAACAAAGATGGTGGGTTAATTTGCATACGCAGGCATGGAGAGAAGATAGAAAGCTCCATCCTGAGCAAAGACTGAAGACTGAAGAGGCTTGGCTTCTTTGCTGTGGCTGGAGCAAAGGCCTGGTTGCTGGAGGAAAACCAGTGCCAGCAGCCAGGGGAAGGAAGGCCCATTCTTGCATGAATCTTCGTGCATCAGGCCTCTAGTTCACAAATAAAAAGAGACACAGGTTTTAAAGTTTTTTTGTTTTTGTTTTTGTTTTGTCTGAACCACATGATGTTAGAGGAGAGATCGGACCAGCCCAGAAGGAGATGTACGAGAGAAACAGATAGAGGGAAATTCTGCTACCTCCACAAATTGTCAGCTTCTTTGGGAATGGGAGCTGAGCATAGAACCCTTTAGTGGGGTCATCAGTAGGTACAAACCATTGCGCCAAGGCTCGGAGCCCAAGTCTGTGCTAGGTACAGGGACGTGTAGGTGAGTAAGCATGTCTGTGCCATAGGCCATGGTCCTGGCATGCCTGGAGGTGAGGCAGATCATTCAGGGACTTGAGTGGCTTGCAGAAGTCAATGATGGGGGAATTGAGCCTTTGCTGGTGTGGTTCAGTGGATAGAGCGTCAGCCTACAGACTGAAGGGTCCCAGGTTCTATTCCAGTCAAGGACACATGCTCGGGTTGTGGTCTCCACCCCACTTAGGGGGCTTGCAGGAGGCAGCCGGTCCATGATTCTCTCTCATTATTGACGTTTCTGTCTCTTCCTCCCTCTCCCTTCCTCTCGGAAATCAATCAAAATGTATTTTAAACAGAAATTGAGTGAGGATGCAAGGCTGTGGAGTGAGGGCAAGCCCGAGGAAGGAAGGCGATGACTTGGGTGACAGCGTCTCTGTGCCCGGGCGTCCCTCACAGACAGACATGGCTGTTGTGTGGCAGATAATGACCACGGAAATGTGTCTGACGGGAGGAGAGGGCAGAGCGGTTGAAACAGCCCCCACCCCTCCCGCTCTCCCCAGTGCTTCCGAGGGCTGGCTGCCCCAGCACAGCTGTGGTGGCCACGTGTGGGACATATTTTCAGCCATGAACAGGGCACTGTTTTTGCCCAGCTGCCACACAGGAAGGCTCGGCCCCGATTCATTCCTTTGGCCATTCATGAGCTCAGTGACCTTCATGTCCCTGCTCGGCAAGCCAGGGGGCTGTCCTGTGTAACTCTGCTGGAATGCCGTTGTAATTCGGTGCTTAAGGACCATGGAAAACGTCCACCCAACTATTGGCAACCGGCAAATAAAAGACTTACATAAATCCCCAAGAGTGAGGCTCCCCCAGTAGGGTTGCATTTACTGTACTTGAAATGGTCTGTATTTTCTTTTTTAAATATATTTTTATTAGAGGCCAGATGCATGAACTTTGTTCATGGGTAGGGTCCCGAGGCCTGGCCGATGATCAGGGCTGATCATTGGGGCACCAGTGGGGGTGATGGAGGGGAGGACCCCCTGCTGGCACCCACCTTGGCTGGCCTGGGGTGTGTGGGCTCGGGGAAGCTCCTGCATTGAACACCTGCCCCCTGTGGTCAGTGTGCATCATAGCAACTGTTCATTCTGCCATGTGGTCAATTTGCATATTGGGCTTTTATTATATAGGATTGATTTCTGAGAGGAAGGGAAAAGGAGAGAGAGAGAGAAAAAGAAAACCATCAATGATGAGAGAGAATCATGGATCGGCTGCCTCCTGCATGCCCCACACTGGGGATAGAGCCCCCAACCCAGGCATGTGCCCTGACCGGGAATCGAACCGTGACCTCCTAGTTTGTTGATCAGTGTCCATCCACTGAATCACGCTGGCCAGACAATATTGCCGTCTTTAATCACGTTTGAGAGCCAACCCTTCTCATTGGAACTGTTGGGTCCGGGAAGCTCAGTGGCCGTCGCTCTGCTGACCTTCTCCTGAAGAAGGTTATTCCGGTGCCCAACCGTTCCAGCAGATGTCCATCTCCAGGTTTTCAAAGACACTTTCCCAGTAGGTTGTTTCCACTTGTATAGCTAAGACGCAAACCTGAGCAAATGAACGCATGGAGCCGGTCCAGCCCCAGAGAAAGTGACATTTCTGTGGTTTGCCTGCAGCACGTTTAACTGGACGGTCCCGTTCCTCTCCTTCCTGGCCTGTCTGATACTGGCGGCTGCCACCATCACGTTGTACTTCGTCCCGTTCCGGTACATTGTTTTAATCTGGGGTAAGTTTGGCACGGTCCTTTTGCTGGCAGTCCTTTCCAGATAAGAACCAACAACTCTTTATTTAAAACATATATATATATTTTGATTGATTTCAGAGAGGAAGGGAGAGGGAGGGAGGGAGGGAGGGAGGGAGGGAGAGAGAGAGAGAGAGAGAGAGAGAGAGAGAGAGAGAGAGAGGGAAACATCAATGATGAGAGTGAATCATTGATTGGCTCCCTCCTGCATGCCCTCCACCAGAAACCGAGTCTGCAACCCAGGCACGTGCCCTTGACAGAAATCGAACCTGGGGCCCTTCAGTCCACAGGCCGACGCTCTATCCACTGAGCCACACCAGCCAGGGCCCATTCTTGACTCTTAAAGTGTGACTGTGAACTTTCAGTGTGCTCCTGCCGGCAGTGAAACACGAGCTTGAAGAAAACACCTGGGCAGCCAGGAATGCAGGACCTCCCTGCAAAGGCCCTGTTGCGTGCACGGTCAGCGTCGCTCCTTCAAGGCGTGTTGCGTAGCTGTGACCGAATAAAAACAAAATGGGATCGTGGGTGTGATTTCCCTTCGGCCTTCGCAGCCATAAATCCCCTGGAATAATATACGGCTGCGGTCCGGCGGCCTTCCGTCTGCACCGTTATTCAAAGCAGAGAGCACACACCTGCACCTTGCCCTTCGCAATACGTGAGAGCAGCCAGGTTGCTCCTGACACGCCGTCCCTCCTTCAGGAAAACCTAGCCCAACCCAATCCAGTACTTCAACCCAGAAGCAGCTGGGGAGAGGGTGATGGGGGGGCCCTCGGTGATGACCCAACCAGCACCAGAAAGGAGAGGAAGCTATAATGTACCAGGGGAAATGGCGCGCCCATATACAGGTCAGCGGGTTTTCAAAAAGCAGAGACAGAAATGGCAAACCGGAAGTGGACGGCATGACTTCATTTACTTCCCCCGCCAGCGGTCGGATAAAATAGGAGTCTCGTGGTGGATAGCGGGCGATGGTGGGCTGGGGGTTGACACCAGAGGGTGTGTTGCAGGAAATTAAGTGGGAGAAGCCACTCGGCTTTCCTCACAGGAGTCTGTGTCAGGGCTGGTTTTTCCGTTACTTGACACCTATGATTGCTGTGGTGTTTTCTACCGTCGTCACTATTGGGATCTTCAGTTATTAAGAGGCTCATACAGGCTCGGCTGGCGTGGCTCAGGGGTTGAGCATTGACTTACGAACCAGGACGTCACGGTTCGATTCCCAGTCAGGGCACACGCCAGAGTTGCAGGCTTGATCTCCAGGAGGGGGCGTGCAGGAGGCAGCCGATCCATGATCCTCTGTCTCTCCCTCTCCCTTCCTCTCTGAAGTCAATCAAAACATATTTAAAGGAGAAAAAAAAAATGATGATCAAGGCGTGGATGATCCCCTGTTGACACTTGGTCTCACACGGTAGATAATATGGTAGAATTACAGCCATTGGAACAGGTGACACCTTTAAAAAAGAAGGTATGGTTTAGCCAGCGTGGCCCATTGGATGAGCATCAGCCTCTGAACCAGGAGATCAGGGTTTGATTCCGGTCAAGGACACATGCCCAGGTTGCAGGCTCGATTCCCAGTCAGGGGCATGCAGGAGGCAGCCGATCCATGATTCTCTCTCATCACTGATGTTTCTCTCTCTCCCTCCCTCTCCCTTCCTCTCTGAAACCTATATATATATATATGCTTTTTAAAAGGCGTGCTTTTGAAGCTTGCAATCTGAGTGCCTTATGACTCTTTAGCCTAAGTTTTTCATCCAGACTCAGTGCATTGTGGGCGAGGCCTGCGCTCTCTGGCGCACTGGAGCGACTGTGCAGGTTTATAATCTTCTCAGTAACTAAGAATGTGGTGTTTTGATCGGCCCGGATATTATCCTTGCCCGGCTGTGCATTGTAAAGACTCCAGATGCGCACTCTCTATATAATTAACAATAGATGCTATATCCTTTCTCCGTGAGTCTTTGCCTGCGCCGTTACGCCTTGTCTGTCTCCTTTTGCCGGAGAGCCCGTGCTGCAAATTAACGCCTTTAGAACACAGCAAGTGTATTTTAGTTTTAAAGGAACACAGGGAAGGGAGGGGTGGAGGGGGGGAGGGCTCGGAGTCTTAGCTAGAAACACAAAGCTGGCTGTGGGGGTAGAGAGGGGAGAAAGACAGCGCGGCTCTGACTTGGGAGAAGAGAGATCATGTGCAACCACTTCTGCTCACCCTGGCCGCCATTTGCAAAGCAGGTGTACGCCTGACCCTCCACAAGGAAATGCCTGGACATTGGCTTCCTGTCAGGTACAGGGCCATCCGGGAAATCCCGCCCCTTAAATGAAAGTCAAGTCGTGGTTAACGAAATCAGAGGGACATCCAACCGTGTATGTGTGTTAGGGGATCATTAAACAGTTAAACGTGCCCGGCCAGTGTGGCTCAGTGGTGAGCGCCTAGGCGGGCACAGTTTGATTCCCTGCCAGGGCCCGCGCCCGGGTTGCAGGCTCTATGCCCAGTAGGGGGCGTGCAGGAGGCAGCCGATCCATGAGTGATTCTCTCTTATCATGGATGTTTCTCTCGCTACCTCTCCCTTTCTGTCTGAAATCAATAAAAAGTAAAAAATGAACAAAAATACAATGAAATGTTGCCTGGGCTGGGGAACAGGAGCCAGGCAAGGTAGACACCTCCGGGGCGAGAATCCACTCAGCATCCCTCAAATTAGCAAGGCCTTGCGCTCTGACCCGCGCTGCCGAGCTCTCCGTGGCAAAGCTTCACGCCACCTTCACGTCCCACCCTCTCCCACTCATCGTGAGAAAAGGGCTGGCGGACAGAATACAGCTCCTAAGTCGTGGGTGCAGGCGAGGAGCAGCGTGGGAGACAAAAGGAGGTTAGGGACCTTTCAGTCTGAAGGCCGATGCTCTATCCACTGAGCCACACCGGTTTCGGCTGTCATCACAGCCGAAATAAGCCCGGACTGCATTGCCTAGACTGGCCCTCTCCCCCCTCCCCCCCTGGACTGCCTCCTGCAAATTAAGTTAGCCAGCCCTAGGAAGATAATTTTCCAATAATAACTTTTCACAGTTTCCCGCCGCCTCGAAGTACAGTCAACATGTCAAGTTTTGTTCAGCAGGGAGAGAGGCGAAACCTGTGAAAATGAGCTGGAGGAGGGAGGGGGGTGGGGGTAGATTTCAGCAGCTTCTTTTTAACAACACCAAAAAAAAAAACTCCACAAAAAACACACAGCACAACCCAGGCCCTGCACCTCCCCCTGGCTCTGCGGCCCCCAAGCTGTGACTTGTTCGGGCTGATGAAGGTCTGTGCCCGCCTGGGCCACGTGTTTGCCTGGCACAGGAGGCTGTGAATCACTGTCGCCCCCAAACGCCAATGCGCTCCCCGGTTTTCCTGGGGTGTCCCTGGCGCCCCGCTGCTGGGATTGTAATGGGATTGTCACAGCCCCGGGAGGCGGGGACCCTCGCCCGCCACCTCTCCTTCCTTTCCGCCACCCCTCCCTCCTTCCTGCCAGAAGAGGCGTTTGTGAATGATTCCACAGGACAGCCCTGTGGGCATGGCTGGGTGGTGGGGGAGGGCAGTGATGGTTTTCGCACTAATTTCTTACTTGTGAACGCCCCTTCTCCCCCAGCCGGGTGAGATGTAAAGACAGACAGACAGACAGACAGCCGAAACCGGTTTTGGCTCAGTGGATAGAGTGTCGGTCTGCGGACTGAAAGGTCCGGGGTTCGATTCCAGTCAAGGGCATGTATCTTGGTTGCGGGCACATCCCCGGTAGGGGGTGTGCAAGAGGCAGCTGACCTATGGTTCTCTCTCATTGATGTTTCTAAGTCTCTCTTCCTCTCTCCCTAAAAAAAAAAAAAAAAAAAAAAAAAGACAGACAGACAGACACTACGAGATCTTCCCTGTGTTTCTTCTGTTTTTCAGGCATCAACAAATTCACAAAGAAGTTCCGAAACCCCTATGCCATCGACAACAACGAGCTGCTGGACTTCCTCTCCCGGGTGCCTTCGGATGTTCAGAAGGTACGTGAATGCAGGAACGGATCACCACCAATGGGGGGCGCCCCCTTCCCTCTTTCCCTCCCCCCCATATGGGAGCCTGGCCGGCCCCGGAGCCCAAAGGCTGTGCCAGTGTGTGAACAATAGAGATAACGCATCAGAAAAACCCTTCCAGAGGCCCGGCTTGCGGGGAGGAGGCCAGGAAATCTTGGTTCCCCCAAAGCATGAGATAATTGGGGGAAATCATCCTGAAAAAAGGAGTGACTTAGGAAGTAGGGCATAGGAGGATTATTCTCTTCATTCTTGTTGGCTCTGATGATCTGATATCTCGTCCCCTCTAAAGAAGGGCAGAGTCGAGGCTGCGGGAAGCGATCGGAGATCAATCAGGAGCATTACGCACGGGGGACGGCCGCTTAGTCCCGGCAGCGTCCGTCCGGTTTCTGTGGAGACAGAGAGATTAGCCGAGGCGACAATACGCGCGAGTCCCCTCCAGTGATGTCAGCCCCGGGGCCGGGGGGTGGGGGCGGGCAGCCGCCTCTGTAACGGAGAATTAGAGATCATAGAATCGGTAGGTGGGAGGCCGTGGCGTGAAATGGCATCACAGTACGTTATCGTCCGAGACAATCCCAAAGCTGGCATCGATTTTCACTTTGGGCCGCTGTGACGTAATGATGCTTGGGACACCAGGCGGTTCTCAGGATGGCAGGGCTGGAAAGCCCTAGGATTTCTCTCCCCTTCACGCCAAATCCTGGAGATTACAATAGACCCCGTGATGTTCCGTCCCGTCCCTTCAGCGTTCATGTTGACACAGCTCTCTGTTAAAATGTATTCGACAGCCCGGCCTGGTGTGGCCTAGCCCTTGAGCGTCAGCCCAGGAACCGAAAGGTCACTGGTTCGATTCCCAGCCAAGGGCACATACATGCCCAGGTGTGGTGGGTTCGATTCCCAGTCCGGGGTGTGCAGGAGGCAGTTGGTCAATGATTCTCTCTCATCACTGATGTTTCTATCTCTCTCTCCCTCTCTCTCTTGCTCTCTGCAATCAATAAAAATACATTTAAGAAATGTATTTCATAAAATGTAATTTTAATGCATTGACATCTGCATTGCACGATTATAAAATAGTCACCTGGGCCCTGACCGGTTTGGCTCAGTGGATAGAGCATCGGCCTGCAGACTGAAGGGTCCCAGGTTCGATTCCAATCAAGGGCATGTACCTTGGTTGCGGGCACATCCCCAGTAGGGAGTGTGCAGGAGGCGGCTGATTGATGTTTCTCTCTCACCGATGTTTCTACCTCTCTATCCCTCTCCCTTCTTCTCTGTAAAAAAATCAATGAAAAAAAAAAATGTCACCTGGCCCTTGCTTGGTCTGCATTGACGATCACAGGTAGGTCACCCCCTGTCCCCCAGGCACCCTCACATTCCCTGTGAGGAAATAGAGCTTTATTCTTAGCTCACACATCTGCTCTTTGCCAACTGCAGCTCAGCTTATGTGATGGGCCCTGATGCCCTTGGAGAGTTTGGCACAGATGTGCCAAGTGGTGGGCACAGGTGGTCTGCCATGCATGCTTTTACATAAAGCCATTCCGCCGTCAGCTTGGGCAGGCTCACAGGAAAGCAATGGGGTTGCCCTGGAGTGGCAGTGGGAGGGTTTGCCCGCATCCTTGGAGAATGCCAGTTGCCCTTGAGCCTGGCCAGGGGTTATGTCTGTGCCCACAGCGGCCCCTTGGAGCGCGCATCCAATTGGCGTCGGCAGGAATACACAGGAACACAGCCAGAGACCCTCCCCGGGAGATAGAGTTCACCAGTAAGATCCTCGGGGAATCGCCAAGAGCACGTTCTACTAACACAACAGACAGTTTGCCACTGGGACTCCCCACACCCTCCCCCTCCCCCCCTCCCCCGTCGTCCTAGTTATCACAGATGTTTTAGCCATCCCTTTGGAAATGAGATTCATTCTTAAGAGGAATCTATAGAAGCCTGGGGCCAGGATCAACGTCGACATGATTTCCCTCTCTGGCAAAACAAATGGCGTATCATTTGCAGAGATTTCTCTCCCCCTCCCCCCCACCCCAAGATTTTAGAACTTTTAAAATATATAACTCTTAGTAAGTTGCTGTATCATAAACTTACCGTAGACATTCCCACGGGGCTGTGATGAAGCTCGCCATAAAGGTCACACACACACATATCACACACATACACACACACACACACACACACACACACATATCACACACACACACACCTCAAATCCCCCAGCAGCACCCGGGGCGGGTAGAGGAGCCCCCATGCATCTCATTAGAAAGAAAAAGGGAAAAAAAAAAATCTGCTTCTAATATTTTGGTTTCCAGAAGTGATGCATGTGCCTCCCCCGATCCTTCCTGTAACGGATCCCCCCGTGTTCCTGTGTTTAGAAAATGATTCATTACCTTTGAACCTTCCTTCCTCCACCTTGGCACAACCCCCGGGGAGCCATTAACACGCGGGGCGGCGGGCTAGGGTTACCAGGCCGCCCGCGTCACGTCCCTGTGTTTTCACAGGTGCAGTTCGCCGAGCTGCAGCCCAGCGGCGGCCAGAGCCCCCTTCGCAAGAAGCGCAGCGTGCCCTAGGACAGACGGACACTCGCCACCCGGGGCCCAGCGTCCCCGTCCAGGTTTGGGCCATCGGACCCACCTTAGGGCTCTCTCGGCGGCTCCAGGGTCCGGACACGTGTGTGGTGTGGCACCCTGTCTGTCATCCCCCTCCTTCTTCAAGCTCACACATGCACACGGGAACATGCACACGGGAACACACACATGCATGAATGGCCCAGCAGAAGGAGGCGATCTGGAGAGCACAAGACGTACCTCCGGTCTCAGAGAGGAGAGAACAGCCTCCTGGCGTGCGACAGGGACTTTGAACTTGGGCCCACCCCGCCAGCGGCCGGTTCTCCTGAAGATTCCCCTGTTTCCACGCCCCACCCCACCCCACCCCACGCTCCTCTCTGATGGCTGCTCCTGCGAGTCCCTGTTGGCGGTTTTTCTCTCTTCTCACCCCCCTGCCCGGAGCTAACAAGTCTTGGATAAGGTATCATCCACCCAAGGAAGGCATCTTATCAACAGATTTTTTAATAACAGACCAGGATTAGCCCCGATCATTACTGGGGAACCGTTCAGCCGTGACTCCTGAAGATCCGTACGGTCACGTCCTCCTGCGTCACGGCCCGTTGCTGGCAATGGGTGCCGGGAGGGTCCAGAGTGAAGGGTTCCTGGGGGTGTCCGGGTGTCTTAAAGCACCATCTCTTCCAGTCGGGCTTTGTGCTTCTTTCCAAATGGAAATGGCCAGGAAGGGAGAGGGAATGAATGAATGAATGAGTGAATGAGTGATTGAATGAATTCTGAGAGTACTTAAGTCAAGGCCAGCCAGGGAGCCAGGGATGAGTACATGTGGCTGCTTTCCTGGTGGTCATATCGCTTCATTGGCCCACATTTTTGAGCAGAAAGGGGAAATATTTTAGCAGCTCCACTTGATCTTTTGTCCCTCCTATGGGTACAATAAGCCGCCCGCCATAAAAATGTATCTCTCAGCCCTTTTCCTAGAAAAATACCACTTCCTTCCTTCGATCCCTGCAGACCCTGCCATTTCACAGAAACCCACCCCCACGTCACAATTCCAATGTTGTGCATATGTATGATATGAAGTATGAAAGTTTCTTTTCAAGTGACATGTCCGTTGTCAAGACTGCATCTTGTCGACACATCCTTTGTATGTACTGTTCTATCTATGTATATGTAATATATATTGTAAAGGAAATGGGAGGGGGAAAGATCTGATTTCACAGTGAGTTTGACTATGGTGTTTTTTTCCCCCCCTCCTCCCTCTCTGGGCTGCCATTTAATAATCTTCCAACAAAATGTTTATGAAACACCAAAGATTCTAAACCTTATCATCTCCTCCCCCGTGTCTGTGTCTCTTTGTCTCCTATCTTCCCCGGGTTTGCTTTCGGCCCAGCCAGATTCCTGCACGATTGGATTTACTTCCAGTTAAGGATGCTGGCTGGCTAAGGGTCCTGCAGAAATTATAAAAAACTCCAGCACATCTCTCCGTGGTCCACACAATAGCTACCGACGGAGCATCTCTTGTGGAACCATTTACTCCGTCTTCTGTGTAAACAATGCCTCATTGTCTGGCTCCCGACTATCATCATCTCTTCCATAGCTGTCTATCATTGTGTAAGGGCCCACATCAGGCGTTTTTAAACAGACGTGTGCGATCGGATCAGTCATTGGAAAGAAAAATGGCAGCAAAACAGCCCCGTATTAATTTAAATGCGGAACCAATGCTTTATTGTTGTGCTCTTTCTATAGAATTTCAAAATGAAATAACACCGCCTGACATTGTCAGCTAGACCTACTTCCTCCACAGCCCCAGGCGGAAGTTCTCAGTGTCAAGTTCAGGCCACCATCGGCCCCGGGGACACTGGGCTGAATCAACCCTTAGTCAACTGCCTGTGGAAAACAGTTGTTAACGGATTTAGCAGACACTGGACACACACACACACACAAAACCAAACAAACAGAATGTGAGTTGTAAGTGCAATGTGAAGATTTTTAAAAAATAATTTTTTATATATATTTTTATTGATTTTTTTTTTTTTACAGAGGAAGAGAGAGGGATAGAGTTAGAAAAATCAATGAGATAGAATCATTGATCAGCTGCCTCTTGCACACCCCCTACGGGGGATGTGCCCGCAACCAAGGTACATGCCCTTGACCGGAATCGAACCTGGGACCTTTCAGTCCACAGACCGACGCTCTATCCACTGAACCAACCGGTTTCGGCTTGAGTTTGTTTTTATTTTTGTATTTTTACTCCCAGCAGGCCTGCATAAACTGAAGTAATCCAGCCAAAAATAAAAAATAAAAAAAAGGTAATGACAAGCAGAACTTTCCTTGACATTTCCTTAACAGCAGGTTGATTTAAGTGTTACCTAGCACAGGACTCTGATTAGAAAGAAAAAAAAAAAGCCCCTATCATATTAGAATAATATTTTCTGTGCCATAGATAGGTAGGTCATTTCATTTAGGATTACCTGAAATATTTGTGCTGTGTTAGCTTCTCTTCCAAACCATTAATAAAGATGCTGAAACCGGACAGCATGGGACCTTGATTCCTTCAGCCCACTGACCGGACCCCTGCCTTGAGCTAGACCTAGTAGTAGCTATCTATCCTATCACCACCTTCCAAAATAGAAGTGGTTTGCCACCTACCAGTTTCGTATTCTTCCAGCAAAACTAACACTGGAGCTTTGTGAGGTCTCGCTGAATCTCGTTCTACGAATTCTATTTAAACGGCAAACAGATCGTATGGCTATTTCTAGGAATACCGCCCTCCACTCAACTGTTCTCAAGTGTAAACTCCATTTGTAGTAGCATAGCCTATATAATCCTATATAATCCTATATAATAAAAGGCTGATATGCAAATTGTCCCCTCCACCGGGAGTTCCACCAGGGGGCGGGGCCAGCCAGCCAGCCAACCGCCCTCGGCCCCTCCTAATGCTTCCCAGTACCTTGCACACCTAGGACAGTGGTGGGCAAACTGCGGCTCACGAGCCACGGGCGGCTCTTTGGCCCCTTGAGGGTGGCTCTTCCACAAAACACCACGGCCTGGGCGAGTCTGTGTTGAAGAAGTGGCGTTAGAAGAAGTTTACGTTTAAAAAACGTGGCTCTCCAAAGAAATGTCAATCGTCCTGTTGATATTTGGCTCTGTGGACTAAGGAGTTTGCCGGCCACTGGTTTCCAACATCTCTTATCCTGATCCTCTATCTGCATTTTCCCCACTTTCTTTTATCGAAGTTTTCAATTGAATGTACTTTGTGTACCTTGCTTAAGACAGTTTTATCTAACGTCACGAACTCTGTGTTTCGACCGTGGTCACCCCCCAGGTGCCATTTGCTTTCTCCGATCTCCGTTACCCGCCATCCACTGAGGTCTAGAAACATTACATGGAAAGGTGCAGACATAGCCCCAGCCGGGGTGGCTCAGTGGATAGAGCATAGCCTGTGGACCAGAGGGTCCTGGGTTCGATTCCGGTCAAGGGCACGTACCTCGGTTGCAGGCTCCTCGCCACCCCGGGCCCTGTGGGGGCCCCTACAGGAGGCAACCCATCGATGTGTCTCTCTCACATCCATGTTTCTCCCCGTCCTTTCCCTCTTTTTTTCCCCCTAAAAATCATGGATGTTAACAACAACAAAACGAAACTGCGGAAACAAGCAAATCCATAAACAAGGTGCGGATCTTCTCAGCCACGCTCTTCCAGGGAGCGGGGAGCGGGGGTGAAATCCCGCGTGGAAATCTCGCGACAGAATCTCGCGTGACAGAATCTCGCGTGAGGAGGGAAAATCTCGCGGGAAGACGTGCTGAGACGGCGTCGGCTGGCGCAAAGATGGCGTCGTCCTCCTCAGGCCGTTTCCTGAGGGGCCGTCAGGCGGATACTGGGGGGACTGGCCCCGTAGGGCAGTGCTTGTGTCCCAGGGACCCTTATTTTACTTAAAAACGGCCTTAAAAATGGCACAAGGGCAGTGATAATGGCAATTTGGCGAGGCCCCGGGAGGCCCCACGGCGCCCACCACCCTCAGGAGGTCGGGTAGCCAAACGCTGCGCCCTTCGCCTGCTGTCTCCTCGTTCTGGAGGCTTTGGTGAGTACAGAAAAGGAAGAAATTCTGTAAAATAATAGCACATTTGCGTTAACTTGTGTGGCAGTGTAGCATTACCATGCTATTTTATTTTTTTTATTTTTCATTTTTTAGTACCTGTAAGGTATTATGTACATATTGTTGCCCCTCACCCCCAAATTCTATTTTTATTATTATTATTATTATTATTATTATTATTATTGATTCTTGATGTTGTTGTTGTTGCTCGTCTCCTCCTGTGCTGAATTGATACACTTTCTTGCTGGTGGAAAATAGTCTATATCAGGCTCAGTCCTGTCCGTCCGTGGTTTCAGGCATGGCCCGGGGTTGTCTAGGGATGTGTCCCCCGAGGATAAGGGTAGGTAGGTGGGGGGAAACCATGGTGTGGTGTTGAATTCACATGTGGGTCTAAAAATCTAGGACCCAGGCCCAAGCCGGTGTGGCTCAGTGGATAGAGCGTCGGGCTGCGGACTGAAAGGTCCCAGGTTCGATTCCAGGTCAAGGGCATGGACCTTGGTTTGCGGGCACATCCCCGGTGGGGGGTGTGCAGGAGGCATCTGATTGATGATTCTCCCTCATGGATGTTTCTAGCTCTCTATCCCTCCCCCTTCCTCTCTGTAAAAAAAAAAAAAAATCAATAAAATATATATATATTTTTAATATATTTTATTGATTTTGTACAGAGAGGAAGGGAAAGAGACAGAGAGCCAGAAACATCGATGAGTCATCAATCAGCCGCCTCTTGCACACCCCCTACTGGGGATGTGCCCACAACCCAGGTCCATGCCCTTGACCGGAATCGAACCCAGGTCCCTTCAGTCCCCAAGCCAACGCTCTATCCATTGAGCCAAACCGGTCTCGGCAATAAAATATATTTTTTAAAAAATAAGTAAATCAAAATCAAAATCGAGGACCCAGTCTGCTGTGCTGTATG